GTTGATGGTTGAAAGTCAGAATGTGGAAAATCACACATCTAACGTTGTTACAGGTTATAATCATCATCATCATCATCATAGTCCTTTTCATCCTGACGGACATTCAGTTCACTGTCATAAGTTCACAGGTCACTTATAATAATAATAAGATATTATAATAATACCAGAATCTCAAGAATGTCCTATATAGTCAGGGGTACCCTGTGTTGTTGAATTGACCTCCATTGTATCAAGGTATTGCAAATACTGAATAATATGCAAATCACTCTGCATTGATATGAATTTGTATTCTGTATCAGAAGATGATAGTAATGAGAAACTAAAGGTGATATTATACTCTTTGAATTATGTATACAACATGTATAAATGGCACTAGTAATGTACAATCTTTGTCTAGTTGGCTGAACCCAAGATACAGAAGCTTGAACCCCACATGCTGTATTATGATGAGATGCCTGGAAACATGAGGTAAGTACACATGTAGTTCATCTCATCATCTCATAGCTAATCATCCATTTCAAACTGTTTACCCTGAAATAGAGCGTCATACCATACATTATCATTTTAGTGGAGCAGATAACTGAAATTGGAACTGCAGGGGCATTTTTTGCCGGTGCACAATTTGCTCCAAGGGCGCATGCAGCCGATCAAAAAGTCCCCAAATTGTGCACCGGCAAAAACACCCCTGCAGTTCCAATGCAAGCTGCTAGAGACACCAAATTTACGTCGCTTCTTCCTTATTTTAACAGTTTTCTACCACGTAAAAGTCATGACTGTAGCATGTTTAGCAACAGCAACAGGAGATACAAAACCCGGAAGGTCGGCTGCAGTACCAAAAAGTGCCACTAGGGGGCGGCAAAAGTCAAATCAAGTGGCCCGCGTACTTTTTCAGAAGAGCAATGTCTCATGAGTATTTGTACCAAGTTTGGTGCTTGTATCACAATTTGAAAGATTCCTCCAAAATTTGATGTTATCTGCTCCACTATTTGTACAAAATATCTGATGAGGCATTCTCTTGCAGATGTGACAGGAAATAAGGCCACACCAATTTAATTTGTTGGTTCACGGATTCGCCCGCTTCATTTTTTTCTGATTTGCAAAAAAAAAATCTGAGTTCTGAGTTATTTGAGTTCTGAGTCAACTCAAATATGCTCACATTTTGCCCCCAACAGTTGAGGAAAAAAATTCAGCCTCTGAATCAACTCCAAAATACTCATATTTTGGTCACAACAGTTAACTAAGGAGATCCCTTCTCTTCAGAGTTGTTACAGTTTTTCCATCTATCAATGCAGTGGTTTGATGAAAGGTTTGAAATTTAAATGTTTGAATTACAAACTAGCCTGGTATGTTAACTTCATTTTTATTTTTTTTCGCCCTGTGGCTTCATATATTTTCTGAAAAAATCAGAGAACCAACAAATCAAATCAAATCAAATATGTTTTTCCCAGAACTCTCCTAGAGTGGAACTCGCTACCACTAAGTACAGTAGGTATCATCAATAGATAGCTTAAAGCTATGTTTAGAGTTGGATGTTCAAAGTTTACGTAACAAGTCGTTTGACGTAATATACATGTAGCCAGCGGCCGCCGCACCGTGTGCCTGTGAAGCTGGTGTGTTACACCTAGAGTTGATCATACTGGCTATACAGATACAAATTCACATGATACTGATAATTTCAAAACTGCTAATTGTCATCAGGTTCCGTAAGGCATTGGCTGCGTTCCTCACTGAGCGACTGAATGCAGCAAAACCACTGGATCCAAAATATGTGAGTAGTTTATGACACCCATCAATCATCAAGCTTAGGTGAAAAGTTCAAACTTTGTTCCAACACAAGAAGAAGAACTCACCATGAATTTTCAGTCTTCCACTGCAATAATTTTACAGAATCAAGATCAGGATTAAATGAAAAGTGGTGGGAGGACAGAAGCTGCCAACCCTGGAGGTTCAGAGAGGGTTCATGGGCTCTGATATAAACTTCCTTATTCATGCCCCTCACAAAGTAATCCTGCTCCTTATCCAAAATGCACACCTTGTAAAGTGTAACAGTATGACCCTGGGACACGATATCTAACATTGTTTGTTCTAACACTTCGGATGAAGTAGAATTTGTGGCAGATTCCAGCCACTTTTGCTTCCAGATCCCGTAAAGTCAAAATGAAAGTTTGACTGGAAATTCATGGTGAGTTCTTTGTTTTCGTATTGAAACGATAAAACTTTCCAACTATTTCTAGAAAGCTAAGTTACAAAGTACATTGCTTTGAACTGTTGAGGGTTGAGACATACAAACAGTCCCATACCTGCCGATGATGACAGCAAACGAATCAACTTCCCCTTCAGCACTTGTGTTTCCATTAAAGTTGGTATACACATCGCAAGTCTTGTACATGAACATGATTAATATGCTTACCATTTATTGAAGGATTATTGAGTGTTGAAATCTGTGTCTCAGTCTTGTCTTGTCTCTATGTAAGAAGACCACTTTTCCTTGGTCTCCTGGGTGGTCATCTTAGCCAAGTTTCACTGTATAGCAATAGAGCTCAAGTAAAATGTCTCTTGTGCGATGGTACATGTAGATCATGTTTCCACAGACAAAGGTGTGCAACGGGGCTGGACCAATGATGGAGCTCGTTGCAACCAGCATAGGGGATCCTGGAGGTATGTATTTTGTCAAGTCTTATCTAGAAATAGGTTTTATTTACATGTTCACACTTAGTCTTTATTATCTCCATGAAACATGGACATGAAAAATGGAGGTATATTATTGTTTTTGGTGTGTCTGTGTTTCCGCACATTTGTAGTCAGTATAACTTCAGAACGCCTTTATGGATTGTTGTGATATTTGGTATGTTGGTAGGTCATAGGAAGACAAAGGTCAAGGTCAAATATGGGCCTCCTTTTTCTCTCAGGAATAATTGGTGTGGGTTTTACAGTTTGTTCTGGAACTGCTAGGGGACTTCCTGGCAAAATCTTTTAAAGCGGAGAAGTCCAGAACGGAACAACATTTGTTAATCATTTTTGGTGTGTAGGTAGTTTAGAGCGAGATGTACATAATTGAATGCAAATCATGCAAATGAAGAACTAATTTGCATAATAAAAGAGGAACTTCTGTAATTACAGTGATAGTACTTTCATACATGTAATATATGTAATCTATGGCATGTGGAACATCAACAGATTCCAATTATGCAAATAATGACCTAATTTGCATAATTCATGTCATAATTTGTAATGATTTCGTAATGGTAAATGATAAGAATGTTATACCTTGTGGCATATGTAAGGTTTACATCACTATGCAACAAACTTGATGATTTTACTGGGCTAAAACTCTGGCAGCGTTAGTAAGGGTTAAACATGGGTGATAACCAGTTAGGGGTAATGTGCTACAGTGCCCCCTGTTTGTCATTGTAGTAACTGCAGCATGATAAGTAATCTAGTCAAGTATATTGCTTCTCTGGAGTTATTTGCTGTATGAGCATTCTTTTGGTGTTTTGATTGCAGAGCAAAGGCAGTGTTAGTGCTTTTTGGGAACCTAAGTCATGGAATTTCAGAATCTAGAATTCATAAATCTGCATATGGTATTGTTGGTATAGTGAGACTATTGAATAGTTGTCATAATAAAATCTATAATTTCTGAATCAAGATACAAAAAAGTCCTTTTTTTTCTAAGAGACATGGAGGCAGAGATGAAAGTGCACAAAGTATGAAAGCACAACTGTTGTTTTGCCCTTGCTGGACATGGTATTTTCCTGTGATGTCTCTCTACAGACTGTCTCCTGATGCCCATGCCGTGCTATGGAGGTGTGTTCTGGGATGTGGGAGGTCGGGCACAGATCCAAACGTTGCCTGTTCACCTCAGCAGTAAGGTAGGAACACCAAAGGAACCAGGACTACTTGTAGATTGATAAGCAAGATACATTGTACAGTAGATGCCACTTTTTTGCAAAGCCAACTTGCCAGTGCATTTTTTGTTCAATTCCGATTGATAGAGGCTAAAACTCTTGGACTTCATTGAGACTATGGGGGTGGGGGGTGGACAGGGAATTGAACACAAATAACGACACAAAGAATACAAACACGGGTCATATTTAACCATTAACAACAGTGAACTTTATTTAGATCAGTTAATTTTTTTTCGTTTACGTATTTTGTTGTTTTCCAGACTGTAAGAATGCTGCAAAAATGTATGCTATTGTGCTGTTGGCTCCAACTCTTCTCGAACGAATAAACACTGCTAAGTAATAAATTGCTACGTACAAAACCAGCAAGGAATAAATGCACAATGTCATCCTGCAAATACTTTTACATCACAAAAGTAGCAAAAAATGAAGTTAGATCTATGAAAAACTTAAATCAAGTAGCGTATAGACATACATGTACTGCACACGATTATCACAAAAGTCATTGATAGCACAAAGGATCACTTCGTCATTGCCTTCATAAGGCCACAGCAAGTAAATTTTATTGATGACATCCTTCGCAGACTCCAATTCTCATGTGAGCGGGCAAAAAAACAAGGCGGGCAAAAAAACAAGGTTCCTACATTTTAAAATTTTGACGCAATCATTGTACAAAATGGTTTTGATTCAGTGGGAACATCACATACATGTACATGTATACATGGCCAGTATCACATATCACTACATCAAAGTAAGAAACAAAACATTAAATCAGAGCCTTTTCTTGTCTCCTCTCTTCATAGTTATCTGCCATCCACCTTCCGGCATGGTAACAGACATCTTTACCCATTTTCGGCATGGTGACCACTGTCAG